TTTGTATATGGTAACAATGCGGTTCTTCTTTCAAACTCTGTGTAGCACATAATTCTTATTGTAATACTAAAAGAAAGAAAATTTATATAGCTATCTCTTGTAAGAATTCCTTTTAAAACAACTGGACCAGTGTACAAAATAAATTGTTTAAAGTCAGTGGCTTTTCACCTTTTTAACTCTTTTAAAGATCTTGGCTGCCTATTACCTTCACTTAGTAACTTTAATTGCTCCAGATGACAAGATATTTCGTTAATTTTCATTTGAGAGAGTCTACATACTCTTGGACCTTCTTTCAGGAAATAGAGTAATCTTTTTGTTACACCTAAAAAAACTAAATGCATCGAGTCCAACAAAAAGCTTTTAACACAAGGAATCTCATAATCAATAAGTATATTTTGACCTAATTGATGACTTCTTTGATAACTCTGTTGTGAAAACTCCAGATCATTGTGCAAAGGACATTCTTGCTCTTCAAAAATAACCCTATTTTCTAGATAAGTGCCTTCTACAGTACATCTTTCACAAGAGTAATATCCACTATGCGCCTTGACACATTTTAACCTGCCTCGCTGGAGCATCACAGCAAAAATATTTTAAATCAAGTTTAAACAACAAATTGTCGAAAGTAAAGCCGTTTGCCTTTAAATCACAAAATTCTGCTAAAAAATCTTTTAGAAATTCAGAAACAGGATCTTGTTTTTGCATTCCACAGTACAATGCTATAATAAAAGGTTTCATTCCTCCAAATGCACCGAGTATTGGCCAAAACTGTTTACTACTGCTTTTAAATAAAGGAAGTCCATCGATATTAACTTCTAAAAATATTGGTTTTAGAGATAACTTATTTCCAGTATACATTTCCAGTATTTTCGTTATACCATTTAAAATACCAAGGTAAACATATTCTCCTCCACTTACAGTTAAAGTCTGTATATAACGCGGGGTTTTCATCAGCGTCCTGCAATTCTTTTGTAAATTGTTATGCCCATTTTTACTGAGAATCTCTAAAAGTTCATTAATGCATACACGTGTACATTTGTTTCGAGCAGCCCAGGAAGCTAGTTCATCAGAAAGAAAATATTCTACAACTGGGTCAACATTTTCAAAACTTATATTAGTAAGATCTTGAGAATGCAATGTACTACTCTTATCACTTAAGATCTCAATAGGAGAATTAAAACTGTTATTAATAAAATGAACTGATTCAGAGTAAAGAGATTCAACTGCATTGGTAATAAACTGTACATTGTCATCATCATCATCAAGTAGGGCTTCGTTAATTAAATGACTGATTTCACGATTATGTGCTCTCCAATTATTAATGTTAGACATCTAAAAATTAAAAATGAAAAATTATTTTCAACGAAAACAACTTTCAAAGACTGCTTTCCTAAAACAAGCATGACAAGCCATGCAGGCTGCTCATCTAAACAGCTTTTTGCAAGAGCTTAATGATTTTGCGTGATATAACAGTTCTATTAAAAAGATTTTATTGCAAGCAAGGTCATAAGAAATAAATTAATTTGAAATTTACATAATAGAATAATAAGAAAATTAATTTAATTCTCTTACAATACCGTAGTTATTGTTAGAAGACTAGTGCGCTGAAGAAAGAAAAATCAAAATAAATATTTTTTTATTATTTAAATTGTTAATCTAAACTTTACATGTGCATTTTTCTCATAATAAAAATATATTTTATTCCTGGTAAAGTTTACAACCCTTAATTAAAATAACTTGCCTAACTTTTTATTTTTGAGAGAGGAATAAATTGCTCTCATAAACCAATTTAGGGGAGTGTGGGCAAAAGCAAGAGCTCAGTCAATTCTTGAAGTTTTAACGACGTTAAAACACCAAGAATTTAAAGCACTTAAGCAATGACGTTTTCGCACAGTTAAAACATTTTAAATGTATTTTCATAGATAATAAAAATTAATAGAAACTTAAAACTTTAAAATTAGCTTGTGGGCTTAATGCCCCCAAATTCCAAAAAGTTGATTCAACAAGCAAATAACATTGATAAGATAAAAAAATCAATGTTTTGATTTTATAAACATTACACAGATATAGTTTAATGAAAAAAAAAATAAATACTTTTAGAAATAGTAAAATTTCGTTTGTAAATAAAGATTTGGTAATGGAGCTTTTTGCCCACTTTATTTAGCAGAATGGTTTGTACATAGTAAAGAAACAAGAAAGTAGCAGGAAATCTTCTATAACTAGCCAGACTATGACATATGCCTATAATTATGTTAAGGGTATGTGGTAAAACTAAGGGTAAGACATTAATGATATATATATATATATATATATATATATATATATATATATATATATATATATATATATATATATATATATATATATATATATATAAATGTATATATATATAAATGTATATATATATATATATATATATATATATATATATATATATATATATATATATATATATATATATATATATATATATATATAATAATATATCTTAAGTTCATTTTTCGTTTTAAAACGTTAGGGTTAGGGTCTTAAGTTTATTTGCCTTGTAACTTCCCATAAATTCAAATTTTTAATGGTTATAATATATATTTATTATGAAAAGTATTAGCATTTTCTATAATTATATTGAAAAAAAATTAGTTTTATCAAGAAGATCAAATGCAGTGATAAAATAAAAACTTTAAAAGCCTTTTTCTCAGAAAAACAAAAATGGACTCAAGATAGTCTTGTTTTGCAGCGACGATATATCTATATCTCTATATATATGTATATATATATATATATATATATATATATATATATATATATATATATATATATATATATATATATATATATATATATAAGAGAGAGTATAAAAAATATATATAAGAAAAAGAGAGAGTATAAAAAGTTTTGCTTCAAAAAGAGTATAATACTCTAAAAAAAAGTACTTCTGGTCACCCTATATATATATATATATATATATATATATATATATATATATATATATATATATATATATATATATATATATATATATATATATATATATATATATATATATATATATATATATATATATATATATATATATATATATATATATATATATACATATATATATATGTATATATATATATATATATATATATATATATATATATATATAAGTATATATATATATATAAGTATATATATATATATATATATATATATATATATATATATATATATATATATATATATATATATATATATATATATATATATATATATATATATATATATATATATATATATATATATATATATATATTATATATATAGGGTGACCAGACGTACTCTTTTTTAGAGTATTATACTCTTTTTGAAGCAAAATTTTTTATACTCTCTCTTTTTCTAAAAATCATAAAGTATACTCTTTATTTTAAAACTACTGATTTAAAAAATTTATTTCTGTGAAATGAACTATAAAAAACGCCGTGGATAAAATACCGAAAGTCTTAACTTTCTTTTAGCGCGTTTATTGGTTGCTAAAGGTCACGTGTAAAACAAATCTCGTTTTTATATAGAGCTTTATATAAAGACTTTCGGTACTCCACAGCCTATAATAAATGATTTTGCGCAGATCTAAGCAATATTTTTTTCTAACCTTGTACGACGACACTATTTTAAATTTGCGGATGCAATGTGACAAGTTAAGTTTAAAAAATATCTCGAGGAAAGTGCAAATTTTTAGATATATTTGAAGAAACTTATACATTCGCCAAACGAGTGAAAAGTGATCAACATAAATTTTTCTGCACTATTTGTAACACAACAGTTTCTATAGTTAATAAAGGCAAATGTGATATTGTTCAACACGCAGCTTCAAAAAAGCATAAAAAATGTTCATCAGTTTCTACAAAACAAAAGCTAGAAACTTTTTTTTCTCAAAAAATTTAGCTGCTAATGAATCAAAACTTACAGTCATTGAGCTTGTATGGTCATACCACAACGTAAAACACGACCATTCTTTTAGGGATATGGACTGCACATCAAATCTATTGAGAAAATCCTGTGATTTTAAGATTACGTGTGGAAGAGCTAAGTCAGAGAGTCTTATTAACAATGTAATTTTAAATTGTTCTCAAGATTTGTTAAAAAAAAGGTTTGCAACAAGCAAACTTTGTTGTTGTTGCATGTGATGCATCGAACCACAAAAATACAAAACTTTTACCTGTTGCAGTAAGATTCTGTGTTGTTAAGCCAGCTTTCAAAATAAAGTCTTGTATTTTAAAAGTTCATAATCTTCCAAATGAAACTGCAGAAACAATAGCAAATATCATTTTGAAAGATATCAACTTTTACAATATACCAGGTATACCGGTATGAAATGAGCGCTTTTTGTGAAAATAAAAACTAATTCTTAATGGGAAAGTATAAAACATTTAATTCAAAGTATTAGCCATTGTTTTCTACACATTTTGACCACCTTTCTGGCAATTTGAGGATAACACGCCAATAAAATTGTTCGTTTTTTAAAGCAAACTAACCAGACACCCATTTTTCGACCTCCTCGTAGGAATCAAAGTGCTGCTCAGCCAATGCGTGTCCCATCGATGAAAACAAATGGTAGTCGGAAGGAGCCAAGTCTGGTGAATACGGCGGGTTGGTTAGCAGCTCCCAGCCAAGTGTTTTGATTGTATCCTGAACCGGTTTTGCTTTGTGTGCACGTGCATTGTCATGGAGCAAAATTACCTTGCCGTGTCTTCTGGCCCATTCTGGTCGTTTCTCGATCAATGCATGGTTCAAATTGATCATTTGTTGTCGGTAGCGATTAGTATTGACGGTTTCACCAGGTTTTAGGAGCTCGTGGAACACCACACCTTTCTGGTCCCACCAAACACACAGCATTGTCTTCTTGCCGAATCGATCTGGTTTTGCAGTCGATGTTGATGGTTGTCCCGGATTAACCCATAATTTTTTCCGTTTAGGATTCTTAAAATAAATCCATTTTTCATCGCCAGTAACAATCCGATGCAAAACCGATTTTCTTTCGTGTCTTCGAAGCAAAATTTCACAAGTGTTTTTTGGTTTTCCATCTGTCTTTCATTCAATTCTTGTGGCAGCCATTTTCTACACTTTTGGATCTTTCTCATAGCTTCTAAACGGTCAGAAATTGTTTGTTGTGCAACATTTAGCATTTCTGTCATTTGCTTTTGACTCAAAGTGTCATCTCCATCCAATATCGTTTGCAATTCAGCGTCTTCAAACTTTTTTGATGGTCTTCCACGTTCTTCATTTCTCACATCAAAATCATTATTTCTGAACCGTTGAAACCATCTTTTGCATGTTGCTTCTGATAGAGCATGATCACCATATGCCTCGACAAGCATTCGATGCGACTCTGCAGCACTTTTCTTTAAATGAAAACAAAAAAATTAATGCTTTCCGCAAATCATCACTTTCCGGTACAAAATTCGACATTTTTAACACGATGAAAAAATATGATGTTGTCTGTTCAATGACTTGATGTATAGTAAATATGTTTCACAGATGTCATAGCAAACAAACAAAAAAAATAAAGGCTCGTTCACAACAAATGTTCCCTATCGAGATATTTGTACCTTGACGCTCACTTCATACCGGTATACCTGGTACAAGATAAAGTTGTTGGATATTCAGCAGATAATGCAGCTGTAAACTTTGGTGCTTTATCAACTAATAAAACTGCAGGTAACATCCATGCAAAGCTTGAAAAGAATTTAAAAAGAGAACTTTTGACAATAGGATGCAGCTACTTCACGTGTAATTCCAATAGATATTGAAAATATAA